CGCGCGCGCGCGCAATTTTTACAAGTGTCGAATGCGTGTTGCAGCAGCATGAACTGCACCAAACAAACAAAACCCCGCATACACCACACAGGATCTAGCACAATCGGCACCGTTCCCTTCATGCCATAACACATGCAAATGAATCTACAAACTGCTGGTGCTTCTGTTTAATTACTTGTGCAGGTGTATGCATCCGTAACGAACATGCAGCACTTTTGACAGGATGTACAGCACTGAGTTGGTGAACAGATACCGCTGAAACGGTATATCACCACAGAATGTAATGTCAGGTGATAAGTGTAATAAAGATGCATTGCAGAGAAATAGGGCTAAGGCGGTACTGGCAGCAAGGCCAGCACTTGACATCTGCAAGCATTCGTGCGACGAGTTGCCCAGGACCCCCCCCCCCCCNNCCCCCAAAAAAAAAAAAAAAAGGAAGTGACTAATCACTCAGAGTCTTCTAGCCCTGCCCGCTGCGCCGTGCGCCATGCCTGCCCTTGTTGAGCTCTGTCTGCAGAGACGCGTCGAGGCAGGGGATGGATAGCTCGAGTATTTGGCCTCTGCAGTGCTTGCACATCCGCTTGCTTTGCCTCCTACACACAAAAAAACAAAAAGATGTGTCGCGTGCTGTTGGGCCATAGCCTCAAGTAGTCGCTTAGTTGCGGGACGTGCGCAACTTTTCATGGGCGGCGCCACCTCCACGGGGACCACGAAGATGAGGCTTGGCAGGATGTACCGCATGTGGCGGATTCCGACCGTGTGCTGTCAATGCCTTAAGATGATTGCATACGTGTGCAATTATACTGTACCGATACATATGTATGTATGTATGTATGTATGTATGTATGTATGTATGCGAAATTATATATAGACACCTGTATTTGTATTCTTTAAACTTTGTGAGTACATAATGAGTGCTTCTGTAACGTATGTCTGTAACCACATACATTTACCGCATCATATTCGAATGCAAATACATGTGCATATAGACCGATGCATACACAAACTTGCGCATGCAAGATGTAACATGCATGCTGGCGTGTTGCCGAGGAAGGGCCGGAGTGACAAGATGAAGGTCAGCCCGAAGCACTTCGTTTTGTGCCTCTCCGGCACGTCATAAGCAACCTTTTCACTAAGGGCTTGGGTTTTAGGGTATCTATGCCGACGTCAGCCGAGGAAGACACCCATGGAGGGGCCCTGGCCGGACAACATGAAGGCGACCTGCCGCGATCGACAGTTTATGCTGGCGAAAACACCCCACAACTAGCTCACGATCATGTATTCCGCAAACACCAACAGTTTCCCAGTGCCAGTGCCCTAAACCTAGGTACCCAATTTATCAATTATTGAGTGCTTGCACACGTACGGAGAGGGACCACTGCCTTTATCATCAGCTTCTCCCTCCTGTAGGTGTGTGTCCTGGCGAATGGATGCTTTTGGGGCTCAGAGAAAGGCTTTTGGCGCCTACCAGGCTCGGACCTCTTCGTAGATGTGAATCCAAACGAATGCCTGTGCGCTCACATGTGTTGGCAAATAACTACGTACGTGTATGTACTTGTTTACCACGTTTTGATGCATTCTGTCCATTCTGTAGTTGTTGCACAAGAAGCAGTCGGAACGTGAAAGTGTGCGAGCGAGGAGTGGGGTCGAGCAGTCATGTCAAATAACCATGTCGATGTCCGCTACAGTGCAGACACAGGTGGCGGCATTTATGCCACTGCCGTGGGCTATGCAGCTGGGCAGACGGCCAACCCAACCTACGAGGAGCAGAAACGATGGGACCTTTGTTTACCGAACATGCAGTGACAGGATTGAGAAGCTTGTTTGCGGGATGCATGTTTCCGGGATTGTCAGCTGCATCTCTCGTGCCGCTGCGTGGAGTGCCGGACCACCAGTACAGGCAAGTCATCGGGATGTCGAGGAAATCCACTTAAGCAGTGACGAAGACACGGACAGACACGGAGGAAGATCGCGGGCAGTCGTCGCGCTTTGCAGGTGCTGCAGGTGTTCCTCATGAGAAGGCACCACGACATGGGGTGACTTCGCAAATAAGCTGTGCTTCAGAAACGCAGTGGAGTGGCTCGATGCTCCTCGAGAGCGCCACCCTACAGCACGAGCCATGAGACGGAAACGAGCTTAGGTGGCATGTTGCCACGTGTTCCCGGATGTATTCTAGCATCCGAAACTACAACAGGATTAGCAGCCCAAACGCCGGAAAACAGAGTGTCAATGCCTGCATCACAGGCGGCACATCATTTGGATGGCAGATCGATCACAGTTCACCTTACACCTCGAATTTTTTAGGGCCCGAATGCACTTGATTTGATGCTAGATGACTAGAAGACTTCCCTGTTGCAGGAGTGCTGCAGCGGACGAACGGGACACACAGAAGCGGTGCAAGTCGTCTCCTGGTGTGCTATGGAGCAATTTGCGACAGTGTTATGATCTGAAGGATGTTGTCTACTACCGCCGTTCAGGGTTTACGCGGGTGCCTGAAGGTTTAACAATGCTTTCCAGGGGTTTTACATGGTTAGGTTTTGTAATGCCTAAAAGGGTTTTGCAGGGTGCAAGGTTGTTTGTGATAATATCCCTTGTAGTAGGGTTGGGTACTAAGGGGACTATGCCGTAATATACCGAAAACTATATTTTTACTTTTCAGGCTCTTGTACTGAGGGTACGTCAACTCTTCAGCTTTCAATGCTTTTGCCCTAAGGTCTACGATCCAGAAAAGATCAGCTTGGTGGACATTTTGCGGTGGTTCTGGGAATCCCACGATCCGACCCAGGGCAATGCGCAAGGGAACGACCACGGCACGCAGTACAGACTCCAAGCTGCACACCAGATCGTCGCAGAAGACACGTTCTTTTGTTCCGCTTCCTTGCCTTGTTGCTGTCGTTGCCGTGATCGACCTCAGCTGCCAATAATGGAGTGTACAGGCCAAAACGAGAGGGATGATGTTCCCGAGGGCGGTCAGCATCGCCAGCACCAGCACCAACACGCGCTTCTGCCACAGCATCTTCGTTTTTTTATCATACCACCAGTCTCAACAGTATATTACATCATCATCATCGTTCAGAAGCATCATCATCGTCATAATGATTATCATCACCATCATCATTTGTCCACGGGGCACAGGATGAGGATGCCCACGCTGAAAATGTATGGTGATGATGATGAGCATGGTAGTGCGATGGTTTTCCAGTGAGGATGAATCCCCAGCGACTTTCCCTTTCGGATCTCGCTATGGCAGTCTGCATGTTATCCTGATCCTTTCCTCTGCTGTCAACCCACGCCTGCAATGGCTCCGCCCCAGGAAGTGCCCTCATCTATTTTGACAGCGAGCAAGAGCAGCTCATGCGTGCAAGCGTCCTGTCAGAACGCCAGTCGTTCGGTTTCCGTTCACGTCGCAGAATCAAGAATTGAATTCCAGGCATGGCCCCGGTCGGTTTCTCATTGCACCGTTGCTCGTAGAACAACTCGCATGTGGAACTGAAGCAAGCTTTGGGGCTGTACTGAGAGGGCCCAGAAAGAGCCAAAGTAAAGAGTCGACTGGAAGTTGCGCACACTTCCATGGCCAAGGCAAAGCAGCTTACGAGAAGTCGCTTCGAGAAGCTAGGAGAGGCTGGTCCGAGAGACTTGCTACGTAGTATGCTACTTTATGCCGACCTTGTTGGTTCCGAGGCAAGACAGCGAGCATTACGACAGAGATCGTGGCCGCATCCGACTTCGACCAGCCGTTTTACTACGCAGAGGACTTTATCGCATGTTGGCTTCGTTTTCAGCAGAGGCAACTCATGGAATCACTGCGTGAGCGGAGGATTACCACCAACAATATCTGGCGAAGCCTGGGGCAAGGCGGGGAGGAGCAGAGCAGCAGATTCGGCAGCGGCTTCGATCTGATCATGTTACGGAAGGGGCAGCATTGAGCAGAGACGTTTGGGCCTGCGATGAGGCCCTACTGCAGCGCCCAGCCTTTGCAGGCTCCTGGGACATGATCTACAGCCGGAACTGGCCTGAGCCCTTTCCCCTGAAGAACCCTGCAATGCGGGCTTGGTCCCAGGCGAAAACCTAAGCTAAAATCTTTTTCAAATAGCTGCATGCAGCTTAGAAAGTTTAGACTTATGGTTCGATTCCAAAGCAGAGCCTTCTTGAGAGGTTGCGTTGCCGGCCTTCGAAGACTGGGCGCCCTCCCCCGAGCTCCTGAAGCTCCATGCGCCAACACTCTCGGAGGAACGTTCTCAGCACCGGCTCTGGTCTTTAGGGTCGATGCTGAGTTTTTGAGATTTGCGTTAGGGTTCGAGGTTAAGGTTTAGGGTCTGGTTCTTCGGCTGGTAAGTTTTGGAGGGGGTGTGGGTAGCGAGGTAGAGTAATGCAGGGCGTTGACCTGTCAGGACTTTTGGAAGCAGCATGCTCCCAAGCCACATTGCGACTTGGCGAGGCATTCAGTCCGTGCCGAGGTCTTGCAAACTCGGACCAGAAGCTTGGCTGCGGAGCCGGTGCATGCTTAGGTGTCATCCGCTCTCCTCACGAGCCCATCTCCTGGCCGTGATCTGCTCTGGAGAGCGACCAGGCATATTACATATATACATACACACACATCAATATAACTAGATAAATAAGGAAGATATATATATATATAATATATAATATACACATGCACACACACATAATATATATATATATATATATATGTTTTAATATATGTATATATATAAATACTATCTGTATGTGTGTGTATATATATAGATACGTGTGTGCTTGTATTTACATAAAACATATGTTATTAACTATAGTACCCCCCCCCAACCGAGACCAACCCCGGCCATGCAATTGCTCATGCGTGTTCCTGTGTCGTGGATGGCAGCCGAAAGCCGGGCGAATACCGCCAAATTCCGTGTCCGTTATTGTTATCTACAGTAGACGGTATACGTGTCATGCCACAATACAAAGAAGCAGGTTTCAGCTTCGTAGCTAAATTGCTTGCCGTTTTGCCTTCTCTGGGGTCCTGTGACGTACTTACGCAATATTTGCCGCCATCCTGCTTTCTCATATTAGAGTACTCGTGGTAATTATGCAGGTAATTCTGAATGTACATTCGCTGCATATTTCACATTGTTTTGCCTCATATTCACATGCTGCTCATAGAGTAGATACTGTCCCGCTATGTATGAGTTGCCAGTACCTACTAGTAAGCGTAAGTTTCATGTTTGGAATTAGGATACATATGTCAGTGCTTCTCTTGGCGTTGATGTGAAGCAAATATCGGATCAGTATTTGTTGAATATGTCGTTGTTGTTAGCCTCATGTTTAAGTTTGCTCAATTAACGAGCCTGAAAGCAACCAGAAAGTATTCATACACATCCGGAATGTGAGAGGTCCTGGAGGACCTCCTGGAGGGGGGAGGGGGTGGTCAGCAGGTGTATGATATAAACACACACACACACACACGCATATATATATATATATATATACATATACATATAGATAACTAACTGTACATATATATATATATATGTGTATATGCACACACGCGCGCAGACAAATATACCTACGTGCATAGGTAGGCATTCATGCACACATCAAAACAGAAATCCACTGTGAAGGTAGCCGTGTCTGTGACAAGCCGATGAGCGACATGCTGCGCCACGCGTGGCCGCGAACTCTAAATTCATAATAACGACATTCATGACGATGACGAAGAGGATTGGAATGATGTGGTGGTGATGGTGATGAACATTCTGATGTTGATGATTGCTGGAGGTGTCGCTGGTCCTGCGAATGAATGCTACTGATACTTCCTCAGGACTTATATATGATACCTAGCAAACAAAGACTCCATTTGAATTACCTGGGACATTCAAGCCTTGATGCTGTCATCTTGAGGTGAGTGTGGCCTTGCCCTGACTGCGATTTTCTGGCACAGCTGGCCTGCTAGTAGGCTGCGAGCTATCGCCGCAAACCACGACGAGAGAAGCGATGAGGAAAAAATGCTCTCTTGTGTAGAGCTTCTTTGCACTTCAGCCTGCAGCTTGCAGCCATGGCCATGCTTGCCCGTCGCCTCTTCGCGGCCCATGTCGGCAGGGGTATAAGATCCGTCCGCACGTTTTGGCACAGCCTCAAAGAAGAGTATAGACAGGAGCCAAGAACCCTAGACGTTTTGTTTCCCTGAATTCTTCCTTTTTCGGGTCTTCCGGCATGAGACTGCAGGCATGTCAGGAGTTTGGAGTCTTGACGTCGTAGGCAAGTTAGTTTCCTCGGCCTCTGAGCCAATGGCTGACACGGAAGAGGAGGAGAAGGTGCGTGTCTTCGTCCTTGAGTGGAGAGAGATCTTGCGCAAAAGGGAGGAGCAGGACATCGAAGAGTTTCTCTCACATGCAAAGGAGGTGCACGGCCAGGATTGGCCCCCTCTCCTCGGGCATCCAAGTGCCCAAGAAGCGAGCTTCGAAGCGCACGAGCTTGCCAACACCGCAACCACCTGCACTCCAGAATCCACGTCGCCGACGGCAGAAAGGAACATCCCAGAGCCAGAGACCTTGGAGGAGGCCCCGACTCCCCCGACTCCGAATCCGGAGCAGAGAGCAGAGGCGGGAGCAGAGCCCGAAGAGGCACCGCATGCGGCTGCGGCAGAAGCGGAGCTTCCATCCCAGGAAGCTGTGGAGCCTCAGGCTGAGCCTGTCGTGGCAGAGGCAGAGCCCCCTGAAGTGGAAGCTGCGGAAGCTGCCACAGCTGGCGCGAAGCCAGAGCCAGAGGCTCCGAAGCCGGAGTTCACCGAGCCTAGGCTTTGTGAGCCAGAGACATCAGAGGTTTCGGAAGCTCCAAGCATGGAGCCACCCAAGCCCGTCGAAGAGGTCAAGACCGAAGCAAGCGCCGCTCTGAAGGACTCCCTCTCGAAGCCAGACCCTCCGAAGCAGCCTCAAGAGGACTCGTCGAAGGAGCAGAGCACAGCAGCCGGTGGGGGGAATGAGGCACATGGCACAGAGAAGCAGATCGACCACGAAGCTGTGAAAGCCGCCGCACAGCGTGGCGCAGAGGTCTTGAGCGACTTGACCAAGCCCTTGGAGTACGAAGTCCGTGAGGTGGTGACCGTACATGAATCCCCTGATCCACGCTCGTCGCCCCTGGGCAGCTTGTCACCCGGTCAGATGGTCCACGGCTATCCAGGCTCCGGGTGGTTGAGGTTGAAGCCCAGTGGCAGCGTGCGTGGCTGGGTGCACATTGGCCGCAGTCTCGCTGTGCAATGCTTGCTGCCAAGCATTCGAAGCCGCTTTTTGGAGGGTGTGGACGTGGTCTGGCCGGGCTTCAAAGGCCTTCTGAAGCCAAATGTGAAGGTGGTCTACATCGTTGAATGGCGTTGCAAGAAATCAGGCGCTGCTGGACATGCCGTTTGTCACAAGCCACAGGAGGTCGTGTCCAACATGCCGCCAGGAAAGCCCTTCGAGTTGCATGTCGCCGTCCGAATACGAGGTCCAGCGATCCCCGGTGCAGATGCTCCCCCGGAAGTGCGGTTTGCTGGCCTTTGGATTGAATCCAAAACTCTGGAAATGGCGATGGATGACGAGGAGGATCCAGAATCTTGTCTGGACCCTTTTGGCACAGCACGCGCCGGATGCCTCAACTGCCAGTGCTACGGCTTCATCTGGCGACCTGGAATGGAGGAGCAGGAGGACCCAGACGACGAGAACGCTCAACGCTTGGGCCTCAACGCCGATCCAAATAGCATCAAGTGCATGCGCTGCGGGGACCCCTTCGATTCGCATGCACGGGCTGGCACGCCAGCGGCCGAGAGGTTGTTGGAGAGCAGGCCTTTGCGGCGGTATCTCGTCACGCATGCCCGTGTCTTCGTGCGGAGCCGGCGAAGCACGAAAGGAGATGCGCTGGGAGCCCTCCGCCGTGGCACCGAGGTTGCGGGCTGCTTGGAGGGAAATTGGCTCCACCTCAGCCAAGAGTCGGCCCGGGCCGTGAATGCGATGCCACGCGGTGCAGTCAACTCCAAGGCCAAGTATGTGGACGCCTGGGTCTTGATCGACGGAGCTTCCGTCGGCTTCCAGACGGACCTTTTGGTGCCGGAGGAGTTGGCTCCAGCAGATCTCAGGGAGCAGATCCAGCAGGAGGAGGAGGAAAGAAGGCGACGCGTCGCCGAGGCTGCCAGGAAGGCCGAAGCTGCGAGGCCACAGAAGATCAAGGCCAAGGATCCCTCCAAGAGCAAGGAGCCTGTTGAAGTGGACAGCGAAGACGAGGCGCGGGGGGCGGATTCTTGTAGCAGGAACACTACTTCAAGCCGAAATGTGAGAATGCAAGACAGCATGCATTGTTGGTAAGACCATCCGTGAAGCCCTTCGGACTTCTGGCTACCATGAAAAGACCGTTCCTTGCTCTGTCAGGCGGGCGCGTTCCGATTGGACCCACTAGCGGGCTTGATGGATTCTTTGTACCTCAAGCCGGTGGACTTCTTGGTGCTAAAGCCTCAGCTCCCCATCCATCGGCGGCCTTCCACCAGTTCCCGCAATCTCGGGCAGCTGAAAAGGGGGCAGATCGTTTCGGGCTGGCCGCAAGGTCCCTGGGTGCTTCTACAGGGCAAGGAGGGAGAAAAGCCCACTTTATCCAAAGCCGGTTGGGTGTTGCTGGATGCATCCAGTCTGGGCTTCGGACCGCAGCTGCTGGCGCAGATGCCGGCTGTCAATGACATCCAGGTTGTTTCAGAGGCCGCAGTCCTTGAGTGGGCGAAATTCCCAGCTAGGACAGTCGAGTACCAGGTGGAGTGGGCAGAATCCGACCGGGATGAGCCCACTGTGGCTGTGCAGAGAGAGACCATGTCCATGGCCCGCGTTCACGAACTGCCACCGGACACCAAGATCAACTTTCGCCTTACTGCACGGGTCTACACCGCTGCACTGGAAAGAGGTGGCGAGCTTTTCGCCGAGGTGGTTGGGCCGTGGGAGGAAGGAGAGACCGGAGCTGCGATCGAAGAGATGGAGGAAGGGAACTTGTGTGTCGACCCTCTTGCGAACTTGCGCGGGCGGTGTATGGACTGCGGTTGCCGCGGCTTTGTCCTGGCAGAGTATGGCGAGCGTCCTAGGACGGGCGACACACTAGAGGAGGTCGTGTGCCGTCGCTGCAGCTGCTCCTGTGTGCGTCACTTCATCTTGGGTGAGTTCCACTACCGGAACCCACACAGCACGAGCTCCTCCCGGCCCTCAAAGGAGAAGGAGAAGGAGAAGGCATCGTCTCAAGTGCAGAAGGCTTTGCCAGCTCCAGAGGAGCCAAAGAGGCCAACGACCTGGCGCCCAGAGGACGCTGCGGAGGAGCGTCAGGAGCGCCTGCCCTTCGTCTTGGACAAGGTCGGCGAAGCGCAGAGTCTCTACGAGACGCTGGGGGTAAGCCCAGATGCAGAGAAGGCGGCTATTCGTGCCGCATATCGCCAGGTTTCCTTAAGCATCCACCCGGACAAGGTGCAACAGCTACACAGCGATGACCCTGACCTCAGAGTTCAAGCCGAGAATGCTTTCAAGGTCGTATCTGCTGCTTACGAGGTGCTTGGAGACGACAGGCTCCGAGCCGAGTATGATCGGAAGCTACGACTTACAGGAGCTACTTTCCTCAGCCGGATCTCCGGGGGACGCTCGAACCTCACGAGCATTGCCTTTCTCAAGAAGTTCCTGAGCAAGGAGAAGGGCGGTTTTGGCTGGGACCTCACCTCAAAGCCACCAGGAGATTGGGAGGAGCAGGCTCCTGGGGTCTATGTTCGGAAGGCCAAGCAAGCCGAGCCATCTTCCCAACCCTGACCGCTGCAAAAGACACGCAAAAAGAGGAGCGCATGCCCATGCCAGTGCTCAGCCTGCAGGGGGCATAGGAGAAGAGACCCTACTGTAGGCCCTAGGCCCCAGGCCCTAGAGATACCTATAGATAGAGCCAGAACAGCTACCCCGTGAGCAGGCCCAGCTCTGGGAGTTCATGGCCGTGGCCGGAATCTGCGGAGAAAAAGAAAGCCCATGCTCATGCTCTTAAAGGTTCTTATGGAGTTCAGATCGGCGGCGAAGGCCATGCCGTCTCCTGCTCTGCATGTGAGGTCCGCGACGCAGCTGCCGCGGCCCTGAGGCAAATCGGGCTTTAGACCAAAGGCGAACCCTGCGGCTGCGGATCCGATCGTCGATTCCGTCTGATAGATGTGTCGGTAGCACAAGACGGCTGCACGAGAATTCAAGCACACGCCTAAAGGCGCACTGCAAGCCTACCACAGGACCGCAAGGGATGTCGGGCAGTCGTGAAACGCCGGCAAGGGTTGGCACGAACGTGATTTTGGGGGTTCCTTAATATAACTGTAGTATGATATGCCCCGAAACCCTCTTCTAATTATTAAGGCCCCTACATTACCTTCGCCTCCCTGCTTGTTAAGCTTTCTTGCATTGGTGTTCCGGCGCTCCTAATGATCCGCTCCGGTGCATGTCGTCATCGACCGACATAGACGCACGCACACACATACACGCACTTATGTGCGTAGTACTTGCGACCTGCATGATACGTAGCTGCAAACATGCACACACACACACACATATATATATATATATACCTGCCTCCGTACAAATATAGTGGAATGAATGTGAGCGACTGTCGCGACGTCTACGAAGCTGTCTCTGGCTCGAAACGGGGTCGGGCATGGGGCGCCTGGCATGGCATGTGATTCGAGCATCTCGGATGCACTGCTCCGCATTGTTCTCGTGCCACAGAGTCTTTGGTGCTTGCTTGAAAGCCCAGGCTCCGAACGAGAGCTTCCGCCCCAGAGCAAGAGTCGCCGACAAGATCTTGCACTTTTTCCAGCGTCACTGCATGTCTACGGCACGCCGACTCCGTTGCTGAATCTTGCCGGCATTTGCCAGCCCAGGTCCAGCGAGCACTCCAAGCCACGGAAGGCCAAGGCAGTGCACGGACTGTGTGAACAAGTGGTGCGTATCGCTGGATCTTCTGGTGTAGATTTTGCCAGCCTTGTAAGGCATGTCTGTCAGGCACGAGACGAGCTTCTTTGCACCCTTCTGAACTTCTGAATTGCTTTGGAGGTATGCCTGCCCTCGAAGACGAACACGCTAAACGCTCTCGTAGATCTTACTGTACAGGGTGTCTACCTCTGTACACTGTCTCGTGTCTCTCTGCGACTGTCTTCCTCTCATCTCTGTCTCGTTGCTGGGCAGGCCAGCGACAGCACCGAGGACGTCGAGCTACGTGTTGCTTGCAAAGCGCATACGCATGAACGAGCACTGAAAGTCATGCGGTTCTGTGTTCGCTACATCATGAGTTGATGATCGTGTATGTTCGGTCGCATTCGGCTAGATGCACTATGTCCTTCTTCAACATGGCGGATCTTCTTGAAGAGTGTCATGTTCTTGCGTCTTGCCGACCCTGACATCCGGCAAGGGCAAGGCTCCGAAGAACTGCAAAGAGCTGGCAGGACAAGTCTGCCTCTCCCAGCAAGGGCAAGGTGAAGAGGAAGAAGACTGACAGCCCTTGCCCAAGATGAAAGATCCGGAAATCCGGCCAGCAAAAGTGGGCGTGCTCTCATCTTGCGATCATGAGGCTCGGAGGAGTCGACGCCTCAGAGGACTCCGATGTTACTTGTAGCAGCCTAGCCGCCATTTTTCAAGACCATTGTAATGACGTCCTTCCTTGCACAGCCAAACAAGCCCCTGACTTGACAGATGTTGTCGCATCTTTCGTAAAGCCTTGACCTGTAAGTCCGTACTTTGCTCGCGGCCGGTGCTTGGGCTGCTTTCGGGTCCGTACAGTAGAAGGAGATCAGCTCAGATTGCTGAGGAAGAGTCCCGTTCCCGAGTCCACGGACGAAGAGGTGGAGGATAGCCAGAGTGTGCGTCGGTGACACAAATTGTGCTGTTGCCGGGTTTCCTCAAAAAGCTGTGTGCATTGTCTGTGGCTCGTGTTTCTGGGTGTGCAGCCTGCCTGGTGTCAAGAAGCGGCTTGGGGTTGGCCTCAACATTCAGTCGCGGAATGCTCAGGAGGACAAGGCGACCAAAGACAAGGCAGTCAGCATGAGTCTGTGTCGATGGTCTAAAGCCTAGCCCTAGCTTGACATGACAGGCAAATGAAAGCTCCAACGAGAGCAGCAGTGGAAATGAGGCGGCGCAGATAGCAGCGTTGCGCGCGGACCAGTGACAAGTGGTCTGCTTAGCATGTGCAAAGGAGGGCCAGGATGAGGACGAGGATGACGGCGAAGAGTGCAAACAAGCGCAGGACCGAGTTTCGGTAAGGAGGGTCTGCTTTATCATCCTAACCGGGAAGATGATCACATCAGCACCACCTTCATCATCCTCTTGCGATGAGGATGATGATGATGATGATGATGATCATGGTGCGGATGCTGATCATGTTTCGACCAGAGATGTGATCTGGATGATGATGATGGTGGTTGTGACGATGATGCCAAGCCTGAAGATGCTTTTTGTGGCATTTTCCCTGACAGCCTGGGTACTCAGAGAACCTGGGAGGAGGCCGCAGCGACAGCTGCAGAGCAGGCTCGGCGCAATGACTCAGGGGCTTCATAACATCCTATAATATACATTTAGGGGTTAGGGGTTTTGGGGTTTAGGGTTTAGGGTTACACTATATAGACTCAAAAACTCTCCCATACTCAATTGCAAATTTTCAGGGCTTCCGCGCCTGCTGCGAAGACTTTCGGGCCGAGTGCATCCATGCGCCACGGGACTTAGGTCTCCGTTCATGAGACCTGGACCGCTGAACGACGGGCTGGTCTGGACTATGGTAACTGCCACTCTAGCCTAGCAAAAACGGCTATACACTGTTACAAGCTCTTCCAAACAACCATAAATTGCCCTAAGCGATCATGAATGACGTACTATAGGTTGCGAGTACGTTCCCGGCGGCAGTATAGTACAGTTTCTCCCTGCCACAGGCTCGTAGCTGCCTGTGCGTACGAACTTCGAAGCGGAGTGATAACACTCCCTTCTCGGCTCAGTAAGCTACTTTACACTACTGCCAAAAACTCTTCTAAACTTTTACAGTTCTGGTGCTCAGACTGCGCTGGCGCCAGGCCCAGGCCGCCAGGTCAAAGCTGGAGGAAGCCAAGGCACCATGAGAAGCACCGGAGTCACCAGAGGACTACGACGAGGGTTTATAGGGCTTACTGCAGAGCACGCCGCAGCCATTTCTTGGTTTATGAGATGGTGTCCGCCCTTGCCGGGTTCAAGTAATTCTGCACAAAAACATACGATGCACCAGGCGATGTTAACTGCTGGAACAGAAGCATGGACACAACATTCGTGAAGCTCACTACCGCTAAGCTAAGAAGAAGCACAGCCGCTGTTGCCACAGCTATGGGAACGACCTGCTGCTGCACAGATCGGCAGCCAGCAGGGGCGGAGGAAGTTTGCAATGATCAGCAGCAGGCACATTGACTCCTTAAATAGACCCGTCATGATGCGGTGAGGGTGGGGTCCAAAGTCTGCTCTGCCAGGTTCACTTGCGGTCAGTATGGATGCAGAAGGCTCTCTGGATTCAACATGGTGTTGCGTAACCTGGAGGTGTTTGGGATTTTGTGGGTTTTTTCCAGCAAGGGTCTCGCGTCGAAGTGTGCTGCGGGATCTCAGCGTACGCAGTCGCGTTTCCGTTTGCCAGAGCCGTGAAGCCGAGGGCTGGCAGGTGCTGGAATCAGAAGGCATGAGTGCGGAACCACCGCACTTTGTGGACCAGGCATGGCCCATGGCATCCTTGATTTGGGCGTGCAGCCTGCAATTTTGGTCCTGCCAGGCTATGCCGGTAAAACCTCCCAGCCTGCTGGAGCAGCGTTGCTGCAAGACACGGGGTTTGCCCAAAGGTGAAATTACCCTGAGCATCCCATATTGATTA